ATCTTTTTTGCTCTAGTATATATTACAAAATAGTGGTGATCATGAATGCATTTTATTACTCTTGATATTAAAGTGGGCATGTATATTAAGTATATTGAAAATTCCATTTTAGGTAGAATAGGTTATAATAAGTGGACTTGACTGCTTATTAAAAGTAAATTTCAAATGTCTGTATTTTGAATTGCAAGCATAATTATTCTATCAATAGATACCTATTACATGGTTTTTATCCCTTAGGCTACTTTTATGATAAATTACACTGGAAGATTTCCAAGGCTAACAATTCTGCATGTAAAATCTTCTGATTTTAAGTATTTTTAAATTAAAATTTGTATTGATTTCATATAGTTGTTACAAAAAGTCAAGATAAACGTTGTGGCTTAAAGCAAGGTTCATAGACAACAGCTCTGAAGGTCAGAAACTCAAAATGACATTGTGCTAAAATCCAAATGTGGCTGCATTTCTTTATGGGTACTCTAGGAAACATTGGCTTATTTTGTTTTATTTTTCAGTTTCTAGAGCCCAAATGTCTTAAATATGTCTCTCTTTCGTCTTGAAGTCCATTTGTGTCTGGATATTTTTATATGGTGCCCTGTGAGGACATTGAGCCTAACAAGATAGTTTAAAATATTTTGGGGGGTCCTTATGGTCAGTTGATTATGAACCTTACATCAATCATCAACTGCATCATTATTCCCCCCTGTCATGGAACAATATATTTACAGGTTCTGGTGATAAAGATGTGGCCACGTTTGGGGTAGGATATAGTATCTTCTGCATATAGAGGATGGATCGATAGGTAATAAATAATAATAATAATAGAAAGACAGATAATTGATGATTGAAAAGTGTGCTAGAAATGAACAAAAGAGGGAAATTATTATAAATAATTATCTTATATAATTTTATGGGCTTATTAAGCAGGCTCAAAGTCTAGAGAACAGGCATCCGGGAAGGAATAACTATCAAATAAGCTAGACTCTCATGCCGATGGACAAAATCTTAACCCTACTGTCATTGATTCATGTGTTCTTTCTCTCTCACGTGAGTTCACTCAAGAGTCTTGGTATCCTTCATCATTTCTGGTCCCGATCTAAAATCCCTGTAAGACTGAGAAGAATTGGGTAATACCAAAGCAATGAGGCGGAGTACCTGACCCTGACCCCACTCCTAAAATACGTTTGAAATATGCATCAGAGATAAATCACAAGGGGCCCAAGGAAAAATAAATTCCATGAAATGTAATCAGTGACTAATAGTAAAAATAATCAAAATATAAAAAAGTAAAAGAGTGAAAGTGGTGAAGAAACACTTTATTTCTGTGGTACTATAAAAAATAAGTGAGACGTTGTAATTTGTAAAAAATAGAATTATTTACAGTTTTTAAAGACTGATGATTCCAAGATCAAAGTGCCACCATGTTTCAGATCAGATGAAGCATGCTCTCCGCTTCGAGGTAATGCTAAACGCCTGGAGATGAAAACTCAAATATGCTCATGTGGCAGGCGAGACTAAAATAATTGAGACCATTTCTTCAAACTGTATTCTAAGGAAACCAATTCCAGAATAACAAGTCTACTCCATGACCTAGGCATCTCCTACAGGCTTCTCCTCATATTTTCAATATGTTCAGAGCATAGCACCAATAAAACAAAACAAAGTATAGGAAAGGAATCATGCTTATAAAGTAAAAAGGTGATACAACAGTTGATTTATGAACATATGCATTCAGACATATTATAAGCTTGTAGCATATCTGTGAAATATTTCCTCTCAGTTTGTCCAATATTTTGCCTTAATTAACATTTAGAAATATAAGCACAATGAACAAGAACATTGTTAACTGTTACTCTTTTTTAAACACAACTTCAGTGAATCCTGTCTGCTTTTTGTCAATTTTTATGGACAATGTTTTGTCTCAGGAGTAGTGGGAAAACAATTGTTAATTCCTTCCTGCCTCAGGCTAAAATAGATAAAGCATCCCTTTGAGGAATCCTGTCTTAATCCCAGCTTCACGTCAAATTGTTCACCTGCCCTCGCCAGCTGAAATTACCCAGCAGGAATTACCTCAGCACGATTAGGACACCCCACCCCTTCCACAGATGAAACCCCCTCTGCATGCTCAGGGCTGCTCTTGCTTCCACGGAGCTGGAACAAAGGACAGCTTTTCCTTCCTTGGTTGTCTTGCATTTCTCCAGAGTGTGTAAGTAAGAAAAATTAAACCTCACATTGTGTTTACCATTAAAGACATGCTCACAGCCTCACACTTGACAAAGTCGCTGTCCTTAAGGCACCCAGCCCAGTAGATCCATGTTGCGGGGAGGATAGTCTGCTACTCTGGTGGCTGTCGGGACAGGAGCAGCCAAAGAGATAATAGCTAATGCATTCAGATTACGTTTCTTTTTCATTTTTATTAACCTAAAATTTCTCTGACTAAAAGCTTTTAACTTAGACAGTGGTCAGTAAATTCACCATGTTAACTTAGGCAGCTTTCCGTCTCTTGTTAACCATAATAATAACAAAATAAGAAATCATAAGACTCAAATGATTCCTATTAGTATCTATTCATGAGCGTATCGCATTGCATATCTTGAAAATCTTTTCTGTAATATGGTTAAGTTTGATTTATGAGCAGAGGCTTAAGGAAAGATGGTAAGTCTTTAGAGGGTTTTTCCCTTTAAAATTTGATAATTGTGTATTCCAAACACTCTGAGAAGTATTGAGAACACAATGAGAAGTATTCATTGCCTGCTCCTGGCAATGGAAGATGTTAGCTCCTTCTCTATGGTGCTGTTGAGCTCTTTTATTAGAGAACACCAAATGATCAAATCTCCACAGCAGATTCAAAGTTCGGACAAGCCTCACCATTTCTCTAAACGTATTATAGTGCTAAAGATTCAGAAAAAGAAAAGGATTCTTCCAGTGCCAACTTCTTGAATGAGCAGCTCACTGAAAATACTGGGCATACAGACCCAAATGTTATCCTATATTTTTATTTTATGTAAGGGTTAAATGTGCAGTACCCTTGGGAATACATTCATCTAAATAATAGTAGGTTTGGGTTGGAAGAGATTTCAGAGCTGCTCCATTTACAATCTGTGCATGGAGTGAGATCATCTCATTATAGCCTTTTGTCATTGCCCTGGTGTAATATTAGCTGCTAAAGGATTAGTTTTTCCCATGGAGAAGCTATGAACAAGTTCAAAACCAGATACTGTCTTAGAATATTCAAGTAAATCAACACAGTGTTTAAGTGGGCATCAGAGAAATAAAAAGGAAACTCCCGAGAAGCCAGCATTGGTTGTCCAAGAAAGAGAAACAACTTCAGCAATATTTAGATATGTATTAGGGCCTTAAAAAGATGGAAAAAATTAGTAGGAGATATCAATTAATTAGGTTGTAATCATTCACACAAACAAAAAAGGACTAGTAGATTTTCTGGGAATGAATATAAGAATATAAGAATAGTATTAATGATTCAACCAAATTAATGTAAGCAAAAAGAGAAACTGTCATTTAATTTTAATTACCATAAAGAAATAATTTGGAAATGAAAAATTAAATAGACTATCAGTCTGAAGGTAATTATAAAAATGTTTCTGAGGATTTAAAAATTATCTCTAGATGTATTTAAAAGAAAATATATTAACACATGTTTCTGAGATTATATGATTAATTTGAAAATAAAGTCAGGTAATACATGATTGATGAATGTTCCTACATTTCTTTGATTTTTTTTTTTTGTGTCAGAGTTTGAACTCAGGACCTTGTGCTTATGAGACAGGCAGCAGAACCACTGAGCTAAATCCCTGTCTGTTTGATTTTCTTAATTACCAGATGTGTAATTCAAAGTTTTTCCAAAAGTATACTTGACAATATTTCTGTTTGATTAAAGATATTTAATAAAAATTTCCATATTCATCCTTAATTAACATATATAGTAGGCTAATGGTACTCACTCTTATTTTGTGCTTCTCTTTTGAACTTTCTTTTTCATATTGTGGGTTTTCCCTCAAAATCTGATATTCTTGATTGTGAATTTATTGGTGAGGTAATAACAGTGCTAGTGTAAATGTTATGCAAGTGTATTGGACTCCATTGGAAGGTTGTACTTTTAAGGGTGAAACGTAGCCTGCAAAGAAGAGTTTATACATTTGTGTATACATTTATCACTTTTAATATTCATGACTTTGGGAAAAATAGCAATTAAAAATAGCTAAAACATTCAATGGTAAAATATACCATTTAACCTAATTTTATTTTCTTTAATATTTTAGCAACTTTAGCTAGTTTAATTCCTGCAGTTGCCCTATGAGTTAGTTAGCAGGACTTTAATCTAGCTTTTGTATTAGTGAGACAGGTGTCAGACATCCTCATGTATGAGAAAGTTACCCCAGTTTGTAATTGCACTGATCCCAATGAACTAATTTCCCACAAAATAAATAATTTCACTAGAGACATCCACTATTCAAGAGATTTATTTTTTTCATCATCACCTTCACCAAAATCTTTAATTTACACAATATTCTTCATGTTTAGCAAATGAAAAACACAACAAAAGCTCTAGGTCATTTTAAGAAGAAAAGTGAACAAACTAAGAGTTTGTTTCATTTGTAATGTTATAAACTTCACTTATTGATGCTCTCCTTTTTGTCTGCTTTTTCAGGTTACCAAACTGACTTTCATAAAAAGTAAGTGGGGCTTGCTCCTATCTGTAGCTCATCTAGTCCCTTTATACTTATCAATTGATATTTTATATATATCTATATAATGTGTCTAATAGGTCAACTAAAACTCTTGAAAATTTCTGTAGTAGTTGTTTAAGACTTTGTATTGCCATTTCTGAAATTATAGAACTAATCAAAAAAGAAACAAAAATAAAATAATTTTTTTAATTAAACATTTATTTATTACCAGCATGTCTGATCTTTTGGAAAGCAGACTTCGGCTCTGGCCATTCGGACTACTGGAGGGCAGTATTTTCTGAGGATAGCAGACTTCTATCTCTTGAATCCTACCTGTGTGTACACCTTGGTGATGTCATTGTACCTGCCTTCGGGGGGCTGATAGTCAGAGACTGGTGGTGTGTAATGTGGCCCTTCCTTCTCAAAGGGGAACCATCTGAGGTCCCGCTTGATGGCCTCAGCATAGAGCTCTGGGGACTCGAGTCTCAGCTCCCGCAGAGCTTTCTGCTGGGCCTCCAGCATGGCCCTGACGGCGTCCCTCTCCGTCTCATGCTCCTGCTGCTTGTACAGTGCCCAATTATTTAGCAGCAGAGCTCTCTGCTCATTCTCCTCAAATGGAAGCTCCACCTGAGGTCGCTGTCCTGACTTATCCCAGTACTTCAAAGGGGTAATAAAATCTTCGATTGAAATAAATCGGTTAAGATGTTTAAGAATATTTTACTCTAGGTAATAAGGAAAAGAGGAACTCTTTCATGAAGATGTTTGGTAATACTCTACTAAAATAAATCAGAATATATTTACATGTATGTATATATTCATATTACATGTACACAAATAGCCACCAAGTTAACGCCTTCACTCTTAACGATGTGATTTCAAAATCAACATGACAGGACATAAAAGCTGAGGCCATTAAATTGTTTTTTAATTGAGTTTATTGGTACATTTTAGGGATACAGTACAATTACATTCATTATTGGGATCTTGTACCTTTACAAGACAGGTCTTGGTTCTCATTTTTTCCCCTTGTCCGTGCCCTCCTTCACCCCCACTGAGACCATTAAATTCTAAGACCCTAAAAAAAGAAATTAAGGAAAATATTTCTTCTTAAAACGTTATAAATTTCTTTATTATTTGCTATGACAGAATATGCTGATTTCTTAATCCATATCATTAGTGTTTTATCACATGTAGAATTTCTTAGATTTACAAATACATCTGATACATTTAGCAATTATTAACTTTAATAAAAATAAATGCTTTACATTAATGTCCTGCACTCAGACTAATAATCATTATATTCAAGGATAAGTAAGAATTGGGAAGCCTGATTCTTCAATATTATACAGAGTATTTCATTATTTGTTCCAAGCAAAAGTATTGTACACATATCTTTCAGTGTACTGGAAAAGTTTTCATTATATTTTCTACTCTTCCAAATATGCTTAAAAGTATAGTATGTAGAGTCTCTAAATTCCTTGCAACTCACAAGTGGTAAATTAGGACAATGAAATAGATCCATGTTGAATTTTCCTTTAAAGAATTCCCACTATGCATTAACAGAACTCTACATTATCTGACAGAGACTATGGAAACTTTAAATCTCATCAAATTAGAGAGCCAACTCCATGAACCAGTACACTGATTTTAAAAATTCATCCTTATAGTTATATTTTTTGAAAAACACTTGGCACCATAATCTATATTAGTTTAGGTTCTCTAGAGAAATAAAATCCATATAAAATGTTCACCTAATTATACAAAGGATTCATGAGGTAGGCATACGAGATCAGAGGCAGAGGAGTCCCAGTGGCTGTCTGCAGGACTGGAGGTGTAAGCATCCAAAATGGCCATCTTCTCACTGCAGAGATGGACGAGGCAGCAGGTGAAGCTCATTTTAGAGTTACTGGAGCAAGTCTTTGACAGGAGGCCAAAAAGTCTGTTTTGAAAGGTGAAGAGCCTATACTGGAAGCTTAAAGAAACTAAAGTCTAGTCTTCAAAGGCAATATCAGAGACCAGAGTCTCTTAAAAAAAGGAATCTTCATTCTTCATTTTTCCCTCTACTTTCTGTGTAAGCTATAAGACTATTTGTTGGTGCCACACATACCAGGGATGAGCCTCTCACACTCTTTTGCTGCTCTGCTTGTCAATCTGCAGACACATGCAGAATTTACTATTCTGCTATGCTCTTTTTACTCGTCAAGTGAACATATCAAAATTAATGATCACACTTACATTTCTTTTCTTTTTTGAGACAGAGTTTTACAGTGAAGTCCAGGCTGGTCTTGAGATTGCAGCAGTCCACCTGCCTTAGCCTCCCAAGTGCTGGAATTAAAGGTATGCACCACTACATTCAGACTGCTCTTCATCTTATTGCAGTGAAATATCTTAATTTGGTGAAATCTATATCATCACATATTCCTTTTATTGACTTTATTGATTTTTGACGTGAAGGTTGTAACTTTGTGTTTATATTTAGAACTAAAGCATTTTCTCCTATCATTATCTGTAAATTTTATAATTTTCATTTGGAATAACATTAATTTTGAAGTAATAAACATGTGATTGATCCTGGAATACTTGTAATAAAGTCTTTCACTTTTCCATTGAGCTGTTCTCCAAACTTTGTGAAAAACAAGTTGGGTATATCAACACAGATATATTTCTTACTTTTCTTTTCTGATTCTCTAATCTCTCTCTCTCTCTCCCTCTCTCTCCCTCTCTCTCCTCTCTCCCCCTCCCTTTCACACACACATACACAATATATATATATAGATATAGATATAGATATAGATATAGATATAGATATAGTAGAGTGATCCTATTTTATCTTTCATTTCTAAATGTTTTTAGCCAGTTTAGTTGTAATTTTGGATCAAATCATATACACAAATGCAAGAATTGTGCTGAAATTTTGATGAAAAATGTTATTTGACAGTAGTTTCCATCCAGCAGAGATAAGATCCCAGCTCACTATGGTTATGAGAGATTCCGTAAAAAGGAGGTGATGTGAGACCGAAGACTGAGGACCGGAGTCCTGTGAAGAGATTCCTTCTGAAAGCACAGGCCCAAGTAATGGAATGACCTCCAAGTAGGTCTTACTTCTTAAAGGTCTCACTGCATCTTAGCAAAGGACAAAGTTTCCAAACTACTAACTATTGAAGAAATATACTTAACCATATCCAAGCCATAACAGCAGTAAAGCAAGAACAGAAAGATACCTTTCTATAGGCTCAACATTGTCAAAGTCTGGGCCCCTATCTCGTCCTTTGCTGGGATATATGTGAGAGGGATAGACTCTTTTCATGTTTTTGGGCAGAGAAAGTGGTTATTTCCAAAAGTATTTTATTTGTATTGTTTTCCTAGGCGGTCCTTTTCTTATTAAATTTTGTAATTTTTTAAAAAATCTTACTCTGTTTTGAGGGGCACCGTGTTGTTAATGATGCCAGATCATCAGCTCTTTGAGCCCCAAGTTTGGGATAAGGAAAAAAAAGGAATCCCAATAAGCTCATCCCTCCCCTTTTTGTTTCCTAAACAGCACACATCCCTTCCTCACCTTTGAAAATCTTACTAGGTTAACTCTGCATATGTAAAACAACTGTCCATTCATTTCTTTCATCTGTTATATTTTTATACATATGGAAAAAGTGTGAGCAGTCCATCTTTCCAGAAATGTGAGATGCACATATTCAAGAGCTTTTTATCTGAGTTTTTAGAACTAAACACAATTTATTGTAAGAAACATGGTAATTAGATGCTAAAATTTTTGATCCCAAATGCAATAAATGCTTGAACAAAATCAAAACAAAGATCGCAGTGTAAAATCCAGAAAGCAATTGGTCAAACTATCAGTCAATTATGTTGGTCAGTGATATATATATATTTCTGAACCTTTCACATAATAAAAGTATTATTCAACCAAAAAGACTGGAAATTCAAGAAACAGGAGAATTAAATCAGCATATATATATATGCAATTACAGCAGAGGATTTATCAGATTGGTGTACAGGAGAGGAGGCTAGAGAGTCACCAAATGCCTATCTGCATACTTGACAGACAGATCCTGTACCTGGAGGGCTCAGAAAAGAGGGACCAAGTATGTAGCCCCAATCTGAGGCTTAAGGCCCGGAAGCTCTTTGGAGAGTCCACGGGTAACACAAACACTAAAATATGCAATTACAGCAGAGGATTTATCAGATTGGTGTACAGGAGAGGAGGCTAGAGAGTCACCAAATGCCTATCTGCATACTTGACAGACAGATCCTGTACCTGGAGGGCTCAGAAAAGAGGGACCAAGTATGTAGCCCCAATCTGAGGCTTAAGGCCCGGAAGCTCTTTGGAGAGTCCACGGGTAACACAAACACTAAACCCTGGAAAAGCTGCATGCTGTTTCCATAGATGTCGGCAATAACGATGAGCAGCTGCAGTAGAACTGAGCTTAGAAGCACTGGTTGGTTTTCTCCTTCTGCTTTTGTGTAGTCTTGACTGCAGATGGACAGTGCTGCCCACCTCAGCGCAGGTCTTCCTCTCTGGTCAGTTCACCCTATCTTAGCTGCAATCCCTCTCACAGATGTACCAGGACTCTGCTTGAATACTTTCCTAAGTGGCAAGCTGACAGAGAGGTTAATCTTTACAGAGAACTATTAAATATATTTTTAAAGTCACTTATAATAATACATCAGGCCTAATTAAGCATAAAATAGTGATTTAGATAATATCTCAAATTAAATTGTTCAAATATAATGCTAAAGCATTTGGTGGATTTCAATATAGAAATAGAAGCATAGTATAATAAATGCACATTAAATATCATAGTATATTTCATCTCATATCCTCTCTTTCCATATTTAAAATCTTTATTTTGCTAGCTTTGGAGGGATGATTAAATTTGGCATACATTTTAAGCACTGATTATTGAAGGAATGGTTTCTGTAAACATAAAATGGGAAAAATATAAAAGAATTAAAATTGCAAATAAACCATTGAAATAATCTCAGGCAGTCAGTGTTTTAGATTTTTATAAAATTACATGCCACTGAATTCCAGATGTAGAAACACTGACTGAATAATGCCTCTAACATGTAGATTACAAAGTAAAAGAAGAAACGGAAAATATAATTTGGTTAATATCCAAAATCAAATACTAATACTAAACAAAAACCTACCACCCAGTGACACTTGTCAAAGATCTATTTTTAGAATTTTTAAAAGCACAAAATTACAGATAGAAACAAATCAGTAAATTCAACTTACTGGTATAGGAAAAAATAAATATTAACGAGTAAAAGAAAATGGTTTCACTGGAATGGAAATAGTCTAATTCTTTATTATTGCAGTTGACTACGTGGTTGTGTATATTTACAAGGCATTGAAAACTGTGCATCTCAAAGTACATTTTAAGTAATTTAAAATTATGCTTGATGAATCTTATTTTTTTAAGTTTTAAATTTAAAAAATTAACACACATTAATTCTAAAATATAGTGGCAATTGGTGTGATATTTCCTTTTAGGCCTATAGCATGCATGACCAAATCCAAATTCCCTTTTTCTATCTCACCCTACCATGCTTTTTAGTCTCTAGTAATCACTATTCTACTCTCAGATTAATCATGGTTAGCTTCCTAATATGAAAGAGAACATGGAGTACTTGTCTTTCTATGCCTGGCTTATTTCATTTAAAATAAATTTGAGTTTAGAGAATAATATTTA